GGCCGCCGTTCCTCCTATGTCCAAAGAACGTTTTCCTGTATATATATTTTTTTGGGTTCATTTGATGCGTAAATTTTATATCCGTAGAGCGATTCCATTATCCTCTCTCCCAGTATGTATTTCCTGTCTACTTTCTTGCGTTCGTTTGATGTGTACAATACGATTGATTTGCATGATTAAATAAACTTGATTGTCTGTGATGTATGCACCGTAAATATATGTGAGTAAAAATATTACTATGAACACACCAAAAAGTGATAAAAATATCCTGAGTTAAAATTTTACTGCTAGCACTCCAAAACCATCATGACAAAACATACTCACTGTTGTTTAAAATACTTCAATGACGACTCCCCATTTTAAGTTAATTTTTAACTAAAAAGAACTAACGCACATATCAACTCCACGGCACTGTACTTAGAGAAATACAGTTATTTGGAAGTTAGTTATGAGTCAAAATTTACAATAGTTAAATTATAACTCACATCATAACTACGGTTATTTGGTAGTTAGTTACGAGTCAAATTTTGTAATAGTTAAATTATAACCCACATCCCCACTGGGATTTTTTGCTCCCACTTCATATGCTTGAGTTAAATTTTTATTCACCATATCATTGGCGGTGGGGGAACGGACCTACGACCTTTTCTCCACCGCTTTGTGTGTCGCATCATATAGTTCCATGGCGCGCAGCGCCTGTGTGTGGCGCTATGTAGCGCCACCGTATATAAGGATAAAAAGGGAGTAGAAAATTCCATAGCAAATCATTTGTCTAGGCTATAGATCACTGACACACAGGAACAGCCGATAAATGAGTTATTGAGAGATGACATGCTGATGACGGTTCGCGACTCCAACCCGTGGTATGCCAACATAGTGAATTACATGGTATCCAAGTACATACCACCAGGGGAGAATCAACGGAAGCTGAAATACGAAAGTCGCCGTCATATATGGGATGAGACATACTTATATCGGGTTTGCTCCGATGGCTTACTACGAAGATGTGTGCCGACTGATGAAGGACTTAAGATCATAGAGCGATGTCATGCCTCACCTTACGGTGGCCATTATGGTGCATTCCGCACCCAGGCCAAGATTTGGCAGAACGACTTCTTCTGGCCAACAATGTACGAAGACTCAAAAGAATTCGTTAGAAGATGCACAAGCTGGCAGAGGCAAGGAGGAATCGCCGCTCATGATGCAATGCCCCTCACATACAATTTGCAAGTCGAGATATTCGATGTTTGGGGTATAGACTTTATGGGACCTTTCCCTAAGTCTCGCAACTTCGAGTACATTCTGGTGGCAGTCGACTATGTCTCCAAGTGGGCTGAGGCTATGCCGTGCAGTGCCGCAGATGCGAAGCATGCCAATAAGATGTTCACGGAAATCATCTTCCCAAGATTTGGTACCCCTAGGATGGTCATAAGTGACGGAGGTTCTCACTTTATTGACAAAACCTTCCGAGACCTCCTATGAGAGATGGGAGCTAAACACAATGTGACCACTCCTTACCATCCACAGACCAGCGGTCAAGCAGAAACATCAAACAAACAAATCAAGAATATTCTTTAGAAGACGGTCAACAAAATGGGAACAGGATGGAAGGATAGATTGCCGGACGCACTGTGGGCATACCGGACAGCATACAAGACACCCATTGGAATGTCTCCTTATCAGATAGTCTACGGGAAGTCATGTTGACTTCCTGTAGAACTCGAGCACAGAGCATACTGGGCCATCAGGAACTAGAACATGGACTTTGAAGGAGCAGGAGAATGGAGAAAAATGCAAATTGCTGAACTTGAAGAGTGGAGAGAGAAGGCTTACCACAACGCGAAGATATACAAAGAAAGGACAAAGCGCTGGCGTGACAAAAGGATAAAAATCAAGAAATTCAAGCCAGGAGACAAAGTGCTAATATTCAACTCCAGGGTTAAGCTTTTCGGTCACGGAAAATTGCGCAGTAAATGTGAAGGACCATTTGACATCATCGACACCTCTTCGCACGGGGCAATCACACTCCGCGACGACTCAGGTAATATATTCAAGGTAAACGGTCAACGCTTAAAGATTTTCCTTGAACCAAATGAAACTTTAGATGAAGTGGATGTTATTGAATTTATCGATTATAAACCATGATGATCTCATCTATTGCATGCTTAGAACCCTGTATAGTTGTCATTTTTTGTGCCTAGCTTAGGAATTAGTGGGCCTAGGAAAGAAAATGGAGGCCTGCCGGACCAACCAGGGTTCGGCCGAACCAAGGCGGCGCCTGTTCGGCCCCGTTTTTGAATGGTAGTCTCCCCCGCTCATCCTTAGTCTGTTTAGATACGAGTTTGGAGGTAGAGCGATCAGATCACGCCCCTGAGCTAGTTCCTCTCTTTCTTCCTCCTTTGCAAGAGCCTCTCCATTCAATCTCACATTCATCCTCAAAATCTTTGATCCAAATCCTTGTACCATCCATGGCTGGCAAATCTCTCATGCCTTACATTGGTTCATCCTCAAACAACACCTACAATCTTGAAGGAGAACCTACACTGGCGAATCAACTCATTCGGGTGGAAGAATACACGATGGAAGGAGTAAACGCTGTATGGGCTCAACCCCTTGCAGCTATGCCAGGCTCCCCTGCGATTTTGGAGCCAATCGGCGAGCTCCCTGGTTCGGCCGAACCAACCCCTCTCGGCCCCGTTCAGCCCCCCGTTCGGCAGCATGATCCCTCTCCCCTCGCCATGTTACGAAGACCAAAATTCGGGGGGATTCGCCTGCCTATTGAACTCGGTCTATTGAAGGCGCGGAGCCTTTTCCAAGACGATGAGAAGGCCGCTCCGCCTCCCGCCGAGCGCTATGTGGGCACCCTGTTCACCAAGGCAAATGATGAGGTGCTCCACAAGTATGTAACACCCACCGCTACTCCATCCACTCCGAAGGAGGATCGGTTCCACATTCAGGGAGTGCGAACTCCCGGCGGTGGGTATGGCAAGGGTTTACTCTGGCCTTTGACGGCATCGGAGAAGGAGGGGGCAGCGGAATCCCGTAGCCCTCCACCTATGAAGGTGAAGCGTCATTTAACGCCCCCACCAATTGTAAGGGCAGCCGGCCAATGTCAAGAAGATGAAGTAAAGTTGTCGGAGCCCTCGATCCATAAGCTCGCCGTTCAAGTAAAGAAACTCCGCAAGGAGAACATAGAGCTTAGGGATCGCAATGCGGAGCTAGGGGTAGAACTCGCTGAAATTAGAAATAATTTTGATACCCTTAGTCGCGGTTTGTGCGCTAAAATCAAGCGTGCATTCATAGAGATGGGGAAGGAGAATAAATATTATGCTAATTAGATGTCTCCTTTCCCCTAAAAAAATGGTAGTAGGTGCTTGGTTTTTATTTTCCAATCAAGTAAGCACTTGCTATGAATAATGTGGCTCATTGGTGTTAACCCCAATGCATGCCAAGTTTGTTTTTGTTTCATGTTTAATAAAGTTCAGGTTTTGAATAAGTGTGAGGGAGATATCCCAGCTTCTGACGTGCATATACTCTGAGAGTTGATGAAATAACTGGACACCTGGAAACACTGAACTCTGCAGAAAGTTGCAGAGGGATCAGGCGCAAGAGTGGTTCGGCCACCAAAGCTGGCCCCAATCCTTTTCACAGGTAAGCAGATGAGTACATCCATTATCTGTATATCTCCACCATGGTTTAGTACTAGAGCTGAAAATTCAGGAAACAATTGGTTCAAGCATAAGTAAAAAATAAAATTTCCAACTAATGAAATTCTTCATATGATTAATCTTGTATATTCATTATTCTCAGCTAAACTTGTGCTTGTGAACAACCATCCATGTTTAGGGAACCTTATGCATCTAAGTAATTGCTTCATGGGAGATGATTCAAGATGAAAGGAATTCTTGCAGCTCTTGTTATGACTCTTGGGAATTTGTTTTCAAAATAAAATTGTTTTAAAAGCTCAATCCTCCAATTGACTTCATTTTATACCTACCAAGGCCATATGCAAGTATATCTTTGATCAAACTTATTATGCATATGATTGTTGGACATTATATTGAGCTTTGTCAAATTTGTGTGACTCGTGTTTGATATCTTTCATGCACTCATGATCAAGGGGTCATTTCCATTTTCATTTCTCCACATATATAATTAAGCTAAGCTTCTACACGGGAAGTCGGCTTCTCACAAAAATTCCATCAAATAAACTCCTATATTAGACTATGCTTTCTTCTCGTAGAAAAGTTCTTGGCAAAAAGAAAATGAGAAAAGGAGGGAAAGGCATGGCTATGAGTAAAAAAAAGGGGGGGAGAAGAAGGAAATAAAGCTTGCTCCCAAAATATTGAGCAATGTTGGAAAGAAAATATAGCCATGCCCCCTTCCATATTCATGCCAAGAGAACAAAATGGAGAGAAGGTATAGGAAAAAGGGATAATCATTTCTTTATTCCATCATTCCACAAAATATTTTTCCTTTCCTTTTCCATCACAAATAAAGACCATTGATCTAGGAGTATGACTGATGATCTTCTTGAGTCCGTATTTTTGGCTTTGCAATATATATGATGCAGGTATGTCACAATTTATCCCTACCAAGCTCCACATATCAGCCTTAGAATAGGGGTGAATTCTAGCACACTTTGCCTTGGTAAGGATCCAAAAGAAAATATACATCCTTGAGAGACAAGAGAGAAAGTCAATATGAGGAAAAGAGCTGGTTTGCGAAAATACATAAAAATCCCATGAGTCTGACAGAGAAGCAAGAAGGACTGGAATCAATATCTTTCCATTTACCAATTACTCAAGAAGGTAAGATGGCCGAACCCTAGTGAGCGCCGTTGGATCCAGGTTTTGGCAGGGATGCTCTAGATCACTCCCTGATGACGGTTACGGGGCAGTTCGGACATTTTATGAAGAATTTTGACATATGGATGATATAGACTGAATATACCAAAAGGCAATGGTATAAACCAAAGTTACAATTGAAGTGGTGACATAGACAAAAAAAAATGTCCTTCACAAAATAAGGGCATATTTGCATGTTACACTCGACCTAGAATACTTGTTTGCTTTCAATAACATGCCACACGAAACAAACCACCTTCAATAACATGCCGCCTATATATAGTAAAATGTGGATACTGACAATCATGTCAAATAATATACTTAAGAACATATTCCAATTAATGGTAATATAGTGTATGATGTACAACTTGTAGCTGATCTACCAGGTAACTATTGAACCATGATAAATTCTATGGTTAATCACTAGTTAATTTACCATATATTCGTAGAAAATGCTACTCCAGGATAGAACTATCTCAACAGATCTGGTTGGCACTTGACGCATATCTTAGATGACAAACCGCAGAAGTTAGTCGCAAGCATACCTAGTCGCCGAAAGCATTTCAAACTGCCATAGAAGAGTGTGGGTAACTACCGACCATTCATAATCATAGCCATGGAATATGGCTTTGGCTTCGACTAACCAGTTCTACTTTGCCTATAGGCCTCCTAATTTGTCAATTCCGATATCAAGTGGGCACAGCTAAGCAGCAAAGGTTGATGTGCCAGCAGATTACACCACACATGCAGGCCTAGGAATGTCGGAAAAGATAGCTATACGTCATATATTAGTCTATGTCTGTACTGTCGATCGTTGATCATCAGCAACTGATCCACCTTCAATACTGTTAGAGACATCTGGAGGACCACTGGACGAGCATCTGCTTGAACTACTACTGCCTTCTGTAAGAGAACTACCTTTAGTTTCCTGTATGAACTGCTGCTTTTTTTTCAAGTCAGAAGAGGAATCCTGTGATAATGACAAACACCCAAAAAAAAAAGTACTCATCTCCCTTTGATCTACTTTGAACAAGGATAAAACATGCTGATCATTTACAGTGAAACTGAATATTGGATGACCCTTACCTTGTTGGCAATCTCTGATTGTAGAGGGGCTGAGGAACCAGGAGTTTTTAGTTCCAGATCAGTTGCAACGTCATCAAAGTCATCATGTTTCCCTCTACAACTTACTTGCTGCAGTGCAGAGGACTTGCTTCTAGAGTCTTGGGCCATAGAGTGAGATCGATTACTACTTGAATGCTGAACTGGAGCACTGAATTGGTTAGATAGTTGATCAGTAGGAGGATGGATGGGTTGAGTGTATGCCATGTAAGGTGTGCATGGATTGGAGACGGTTCCAGAAGTTTGATTTCGGAAGTAAGGGTATGCCTGGAGCTGTGGGTGCATAGGAACAGCACCTGAAGGTATAGGGACTGGGACTGGGACTGGGACTGAAAAAGGATATGGCAGGGGTGGCCCAATGACAACAGAAGGCTCCATTCCAGTCCAAGGGTACAGCACACGCATTCGTTGCTGATACTGGGTATTCAGATTATCAACCTCAAACTTCAGTGAAACTTTCTCATCTCTGAGCTCATTCTTTTCCTGAGTCAACTACAAGCACCATGACAAGCGTTATTTAGATATTTGAATATTTCTGTGAGCTGTGGCTGACCTGCTTGTTTATACACATATTACAAGTTTACCTCACGTGCTTCTTCTGAGAGTGAAGTATATTCAGCTTTAAGCTTGTTCACCTGGGACGTCAAATCTTTCAGCATTTGAATTGCATCACTAAGGATAGTTGCCTTATCATTCCTGGGTCGATCTGGATCTGTATATTTGAACACATTAATGGCAATATGGTATCAGTTAATGAGAACACTATAGAACTAAGTCTAATGATTATGATATCGCATAGATGCAGCTAGTAAAGAGAACAAACAATTTTAAGTGCAATTAATCTTAGTTATGCAGAAACTAGCAATATGTTAATTGAATCAAGAATCTTTGCAGATTTCAAATTTGTTTACACGCTAGTTTCCACTGACCAACCTTTGTCCATTGTAGGTGCAACCAGTAAAGCAGCTGACTGTAAACTGGCCAGTTTGTGGTTGCTGTGCTGTGTTGTGCTGTGGGAATCTAGTTAGAGGGATCTTGACTAATGCAAGTAAGATTATTCTGTTACAGCTCTAATTCAAATGATTCTGACTATCCAATCCAAAAATAAATAAACAAATAAATGAATAAATAAGAGTTTTGAAAGCCACCGCACTATCAAACAGAGCAAAAGAAAACAAGGCTACTGGATGTATGGTTAAATATTAAGTACTGCACAGATGATGAATGGACAGCATAAAGGACATAAGGGTTGCACATAAGGCAGATAGACACATTAATAAATAGAAACAGATAATTAGATGATAAGTTGCAAGATAGCACAAGGAGGATATAAATATCAATCATTCTTCTGTTGAGTGAACTAACATAGAGGAGCAGACATCCTTTTACCATACTACCAAACTATATCCACATGGCACCTCCCACGAATTCAATTCTAACTGCCATAACATGGATACATCTCATCTTTCCTATTCTGCTAGCAGACCACCTCCACTAGATGGCTTTGGGTTTCCTGCATGCCACCTTCCTTCCCTAATACTAACTGGATGCACTTTTGACGAAGCCTACTCCTCGCTGGACTTTTGTGTGCCTCGCTTTTGCTCCCTAAATATGTCCACAGAAGTTAGCATCAGACCTCAGACTCCAGACATCGGTGCTGCTGCAGCATGCTCACTGCACCTGCTTCTAGGACCTTGTCTTAAACAAAGGCAGACAAAACTCAGCCAACTAGTGAACTTGTGATTAAAAAGTCAGAAACAGTAATTTATTTATTTTGAAATACTATGTGGCCATTTTCTTGTACATGAAAAACTATACCAAACTATATCCATTTGGGCACAACTATCCCAGCTCAGGAAAGGCTCAAGTTGGCATTCAGTCAAAGGCACCAAAAGAACAACTTTACCTCAAATAGTAAATAAGTGAAGTTAATGGCGATGCCAGCTTAGGATGGCCTGCCATTTGTACTAATTGCTGACTAAAAAAAGTAAATAACAGACTAATTAAAAGCATTAAACCAAACCTGTCATGAAGAGAACAGAAAAAAGGTTCATCAACATAACGAGATTCAGTTAAGACTTTACATGATGGAAATCAGAAATTGCTGCTGAGCATTATATTAAGAGCCTACCTAGTTAGAAAGCATTTCTACAACGCATACAATGGCAAGGACTAAGGTGTAGCCACAATACTGCTCAGGAAAGTACTGTACAGAGATCTATATATAAGTTCCATGCTCAGAAATGTAATATACACACATGAAAATAATAGGCAATGAAAAGGCCATTAAATATCTGAAATATTAGTTCCAAGTGGTCTTGTGGAAAATTTTCTAACAGACAGTTTGAGAAGAACAATACTTCCTCCGTTTCATAATGTAAGACTTTCTAGCATTGCCCACATTCATATAGATGCTAATGAATCTAGACACACATGTGTGTCTAGATTCATTAGCATATATATGAATGTGGACAATGCTATAAAGTCTTACATTATGAAACGGAGGGAGTAATTGTTATGGCTTGTTTAAATGTTTACAGAATTGATAACAACAGGGTGGCATGAAATTTCACAGTTCTAATCAGTCCCACTAACTAATGACCAGGGGGGGTAATAGCACCCCACCTGCTAGATCTCCCATTTCTAGGGATCCCGCAACCCACGACTGTAAACGCGTCCCCCGGAGTGTAAATCCGACGAGAACAGGTCATGTGAAAGTACATGTCTCCAAGACAATAAATGCTCACCTTGCAAGTGTAGAAAACCCACAAACCAACAAACACATGACGAACACATTCTTCCAATGTAAATGCATACCTCACAACCTTAAAACGCACCCTGAACACATCCATCAACCATAAATTCTGTCACTTTTTACAATCAGAAGCTTGATCTGTAATGTACAAAGCACTAAACATCTTGTAGGGTCACTGTGTTGCTTGATGTTTCTGGTGGGGAACCTGTAAATGAACAATCGGTCACAGCAAACACATTTATTCCCCCATGCCCATGCAAACCAGCCAGAACCTTGAAGCGAAGGGCCGCTGGGGATGGCAGAGGTGGAGCACCACACCGTTCCTAGCAGTCGAGGTGCAGTGTCGGGTGGCGCTCGGCAGCAGAGGCAGTGGCACAGGCAGAGTAGCCAGTGAAATGGAACACCACGTGTCACCTGGCGGCGTAGGTACAAAAGGCAGAGCGCTCGGGAATGGTCAGCAGTAGAGGTGCAGTGCTAGGGGGCAAAGAGGGGCTTGGTAGTGAAGGCACAGAAGCTAGGGTGGTAGAAGGGAGAGCAGCTGGGGAGGTTGGACCACAGAGGAGGGTGGCAGTCCAGATATAATGTGTAGCGGACGACAACATGCTGCCGCTGGGGGCCCACAAAGACAGCAGCCATGATGCCTGAAGATGAAGTCAACCGGTGTTGCTCGGGAATGACAAGGGCGCCACTGCTTGCTTAGTGATCTCTGGCTGGATCTCCACCAGCGCATTGGCATAGCATCTGGTCGCCAAGATCACTGTTGAGAAGGGAGAAAAGGCTGAATCCCCTCTGGACTCCTAAAGGGCTGGAATTAAAAAAAAAACAAACTGCCCTGATTTACAGTCACGGTTATTCATTTACAATTGCAGTAGTTTGATTTAGAGCGAGTACAATAGCAGGCTGCAAGTTAGCTATAAGCACACGTGGAGGAGAGAAGAGAAGAAAGAGAAGGAAAAGCGGGCTATAGATTTATAGCCAGCTACACCACGGATTCCAATACGTTGTGTGTGTATGAGAGGTGGGACCATATATTAATGGTGTAGTATATGTTTATAGATAACTATTGTGTGGATGAGCTATTAGATTGGCTATAGATGAATTGGAGCCAACAGTTGGCTATACTATTAAACTTGCTCTTATAGCTGCAACGGCTTGGTTTACAGACATGGTAGAATTTACAAGCACGCAGAGGATCCTTTACAAGTGCAAGTAGATTTTTGAACCAGGACTATTAACATTGTGGTAGTGGTAAAGAACGCACACAACGTGCTATAATATAGCATGCAACCCCTCTCTGCCACCACCCTCATGTGCTAACCAGACCAAGCACTATTTCTACAGTTTCCTGAAATGTCCAGTGAAAGATGCAGTCAATTGATAGTTTTAACAAAACAGTTGTAGAATTTGAAAATTACTCCACTAATATAAAACAATGATACAGTTAATACTTGATAGTTGCTATAATTTATGCAGTAGAGTACGTTGGAACCAAAATAGTTTTTTATCCAAACAAGGTCTTGGTTGTCAGCAAGAAACCAAAAAAATTTATATCATAACCACCCTAGCCCTAGTCCAGGGCCAAGCATGGATCTTTTGAAGACAAACAAGCTAAAGAAACAAATAATGAAGACATGCTGATCAAGTGTGCATAACAAATCAGTATATCACGCTGATATATAAAACAATTACATTTACACAATTGATTATGTATTTATGCTTACTCGGGCACTCGTTAAACAGCATATATGACCATTTTTTAAGTTCTTGAAACTTTTCCATCAAAGGCCTGGGTGGTAATGGACCTAATCTTTTAGCCTACAAAATTTGAGGGCTAGGTCTAAAATGGGGCAGGCTGAATTTTTATACATTTTTTACCTAAAAATATAGGACGGCCAAGTAGGGTTGTGAAAGGACCCATAGGGCATGGCCCATTACCACCCCTAGGTCTGGCAAGTGAGGAACATAACATGAACTCAATTGAGACCATAGTAACGCATCACAAATAGTTTAGTCTCAATCACACTCTGCTAGCACTAACAGTTCCAAGTTTAATAAATTGTCTAGGAACATCTGTTTGTGGGTGGTAAGCTTCATGTTCCGCTTTACATTTAGGCTGTGAAAAAGTTCTAGCCAAAAAAGCTTGTAAATATCGGCTGTGAGAGTTTGACTACAACAAGAAAGTATTATTGGTCTCCCAGAGCAAGTTAACATCGTAGCCACTCCAAATCACGGAATTACTAAACTGTGGGAGTTTTTGTTCAAGCATCTAAGAAAGTTCACGATTTCCAAAAAGAATATAATTTAGTTCTGAACAAACTGTTTCCTGCTCCTGCATACAGTTTAAGCATGCCATTGGGAGACTTCTACATGATTCTGATTGAATAGTTACTAATTGCATGGTCAAACTTTACCTTGAACATGTTCAAAGTGCTCCATGACATTAGCTTCTAATTATACTGCTTGAATCTCTATTGACACAAAGCTTATGACCTAAATGTATAATTCTCAAGTACAAGAATCGAAGTGAAATGCCCAAGTAGTGTAGGACCTACAGCATATTTTGCAGTCATTATTTAAATGGGCATGTGCACCAGTTAGAAACAGACAAAATTCAAAAGAAAAAACATGATGGAAACAGTCAAATCAATAAAATATTAGTCATGAGAAAGTAGGAAATTGAGAAGAAACCATAGGGAGAGGTGGCCAGGATTATGTAAGACAAGATTAAAAACTGTGACACCGAACATGACTGGTTAGGAACAATATTACATCAACCCAAACAGAAAGCTAACTAGGTGTAATCTGTTAAACAAGTGAACCTCAAGAATAAATAAAAATAGAAGTTTTTATCAAGTCAAGCGGTATTGGTCTCTCAGGGGAAGGGTAAGTTAAGCGGTAATTCCATTTGTTAAGCACTAAATTTGGTAATTTTGCTTATTATTACTAACTTGGCGTATTCCGAACGCTAAGGAACTGAGGTGTTCTTTTAGAGGTCAAGAATGGTATAGGGGACAGTTGCATTCAGGAATGTTATCTTGGTATTGTGAAAAGCAAAAAAACAAGTAGTATATCAGCTGTTTGTAGAAGGATGAATAAATAAATCCTTCAAACGGCACGTGCTTTCAGATAACAAGCTCTTGGACAATTTATTCTATAAGAAAACTCCTCCTTTATTCATAATATGATTTTCCAGTCATAACACATAGAATAATTAACTAGAACAAATAAATCGATACACATCCATCAAGAAGTCATTATGCCCTCGGTCCCATTTTAAGTGCAATTGTGGGTTTCTATCTCCAACAATTAGCCGTCCGTCTTATTTAAATTTTTTTTATGATTTGTATTTTTATATTGTTATTAGATGATAAAACATGAATAGTACTTTATGCCTGACTTATTTTTTAAAAAAAATTCATAATTGTTTCAAATAAGACGGACGGTCAAACGTTGGACACGGAAACCCACAACTACACTTACAATGGGATGGAGGGAGTAGTCTATTTGAGACAAACAATTGTGCCTTACCAAGTGTGCTTCCAAGTTCCTGGAACTGCTCATTCAATCTATCTCTTCGCATTTTCTCACGATCAGCCTTTTGAACCTTGCGCGTGGCAATTGAACCCTGGGTTTTACATTCTGTCTTTCCGCTGTTAGTAAAATAAGGAAAACATTTGCTGTTAGCACATACATATTGGATGTATGAGTCGCAACTATTTTGCACAACAGCGTCACCATAGACATAGATATGCTAGTTGATGATCAGTGTCTTAATTAGTACTAGTAAAATTCTAAGACTGACTTCCAAGACCAATTTGTACACGGACAATACTCTCACTCATGCATATCTTCTTATGTCTCGGTGCCCACAAACCCTACGCAAGGAATATCGAAAGGTAAAACTCAATCAGCTGAATTGGAACGACCGGGAACGGAAGGCTGCTCGATTTGCATCATGAACCAGCACGCATGAGATTCAGATACTGCCTACCTCCCGTATACCACATAAACTACCTAGATTTGGGCGACAGGAGGCTAAAATTCCTACCGAACTAGCTCCTAACCGCGAACCCTGCGAAAGAATTGCGAGAATTCGGAGCTAAAACAAGGGAGCGGGAGGACCTGGAGTCGGCGGGGCACGCGCCGTCGCGTGGGTGGAAGAAGCCGTCCTCTTGCGCCTGGCTGCTGCGCGGATCCATGGTGACGCGGAGGGCGCGTGGTCGCCTCGCCTCCCCTTAGCGTCCCCGCCGTGCACAGAGCACGCGAGGTGGGTTTCCACCACCGAGAGGGCCGTGTTGCGTGTTATCCACTTACCGTGAATTTGACCCATGGTTCACCCAAAATTACTTATCTTCTACGGAGTATAATAGATGGAGTATTTGTTTTTCATATGCCCTCTTGGTTTCTCCTTCGACCTTTGGAGAGTATATTTTCCCATAGAAATTTGAATTTTCATAAGGACCAGCGGTGAAATTACGATTTCTTTTAGAAAGTCAAAGACATGTAAATAATTTTAGACACTGCCACATTGTTGAGCACTAAAAAGGCATACCATCTTAGTGATGTGATTCTCTAATGAGCTCGGACGGTCACTAGGAACAACGATTATGATCTCCTGATGAGCTCAGATGGCCGCTAGGAACAACGATTTTAGTTTTGTAGAAAACATAAAAAGCCCTACCATATTTTAAATAGAGAGCATACGGAAGTTCATACACATGATTCTAAATCAGCAAAAATACATTCCAAAAGAAAAAAAAAGTTCCTAAGTCGCTCGGGCAATTCAAGCCGCATGTTGAAAATTTGGTCATAATTCGGTATATTTTAATCAAAATATTAAGATAATAAACATGACATTTGTAATTTGAGTAGATCTAGTAACAGCGCTAGATGTGTATAACATGAGCATGCTTAATATAGAATAAGCATCAACATAGACAAGAGAACGCAATAATATTGCGATTGACAAAACGAAGAACGAACGGTAACAGTGTAATGTTATACCCCAAGAATGGCCCTCCGCTGGAGTTTGAGGCAGTATTGTCTCCGTTGGTGTTGACGGGAGGCTCCTTCTCCTTGTCTCCAGTGTTGTTGTCGCTGGTTGTCGACATGTTGGTGAAGATGATGCAGAGCAGTCGCGCTTGAAGCGCTACCCAAAAACTTGATCGCCCGGCTACCCGTGCAGGTTCTCAAGCGATCGGAGTTTCGGATGCACCTGCTCGTTCTGATCACCCGTGCGCGCGGGATGAACAGAATTGGGGAAACAGAGAGACAACGCAGGAACAGAAGGAGAGCATCGCCAAAGAACAATAGCAGGCGGAAGACACATTCTTTGAGAGCCTTTGCCTTGCGTTATATATATAGAGAGAGAGAAAGATCTCCATTACCACACAAATAAATCTTATTTGTTGTGAAGGTTACCATAAAATAAATCTCATCTGTTGTAAAGGTTACCACACAATGAATCTCTCATTTGTTGTGGAGGTTACAATACAATAAATCTCTCATTTGTTAATGGTGACTTTATTATCGTCTGTTACAAAACGAAAGAGCAGCAGGTAGGCTCGGCTCAGTTGGCCGACTCAGCGCGCGTGCGTGTGTGGCAGTCCAACCATCACCTCAACCGGTCAATAGGGAATCTCCAATATCACCCTATTTAAGTTGAGGTTCTTCCATCTAAATTTTCATAGCAGTATTATTGTCTCTAACATTACTTGTGGGCTCTTGAGATTTTAATTTAATTAAATTGGGCCTAGCCCATTTATTCCAACAATCCCCACCAAATTTCATGGCTCACAAGAAATGTTCTCAAAACTGAACCTGTTAGTTATACCAGTGTTTCGATGGAGACTGTTAAGTTGAACCAGATCACAACTAAACAATGGACTATGCTCTGAATTGTCAGTCTTGTGCGATTCAGGTTTCACTCAAACCCTTAACTGGTATTGGGCTGCCGTTTGCATCCCCTCCGTTTGGAGCGTATAAGTCATACTCCTGGCCTTTTCAAGAGTATCTAGAGATCACCCATATCTCATAGACTGTGACTAGCAGTCGGACTCATATATGCTAATATTGGCATTGATTGGCAAAAATTCGCCGCGCTAATCACAAAGTGATTTTTTGCCACGAACGAACCCAATAAATCCAATATGTCCAAAAATTATGTTTGGGTGCGTTTTGAACATTTTCATTCCGGTGAAAAACATCGCACCCATGTGTGCCAATATATGCCAATATTGGAATGAATTGAGAAAAGTTCGCCGCGCGAATCACGAAGTGATTTTTTTGCCATGAACGCATCCAATACAACATCCAATATGTCCAAAAATCATGTTTTGGTGCTTTTTGAACTTTTTCATTCCGGTCAAAAACATCGCACCCACGTGTGCCAATATTAACATGAATTAACAAAAGTTCGCCGCGCGAATCAAGAAGTGATTTTTTACTACGAACGCATCCAATACACTCCAATATATCCAAAAATCATGTTTTGGTGCTTTTTAAACTTTTTCATTCCAGTGAAATACATCGCACCCACGTGTGTCAATATTGGCATGAATTGACAAAAGTTCGCCACGCGAATCACGAAGTGATTTTTTGCCACGAACGTATCCAATACACTCCAATATGTCCAAAAATCATGTTTTGGTGCTTTTTGAACTTTTTGATTGCAGTGAAAAACATCGCACCCACGTGTGCCAATATAGGTATTAATTCACAAAAGTTCACCGTGCGAATCACGAAGTGATTTTTTGCCACTAACGCACCCAATACTCCAATATGTCCAAAAATCATGTTTTGGTGCTTTTTGAACTTTTTCATTCCGGTGAAAAACATCACAGCCACGTGTGTCAATATATGCCAATATTAAGTGACAAAAGTTCGCCGCGCGAATAACGAAGTAATTTTTTGCCACGAACGCACCCAATACACTCCAATATGTCCAAAAATCATGTTTTGGTGCTTTTTGAACTTTTTCATTCCGGTGAAAAACATCACACCCACATGTGCCTATATTGTCATGAATTGACACAAGTTCGCCGCGCGAATCACGAAGTGATTTTTGCCACAAAAGCACCCAATACACTCCAATATATCCAAAAATTAGGTTTTGATGTTTTTTGAACTTTTTCATTCCGGTCAAAAATGTCGCACCCACATATTGGCATTAATTGACAAAAGTTTGCCGCGCGAATCACGAAGTGATTTTTTGCCACGAACGCATCCAATACACTCCAATATGTCCAAAAATCAGGTTTTGGTGCTTTTTGAACTTTTCATTCCAGTGAAAAACATCGCACCCACGTGTGCCAATATAGGTATTAATTCACAAAAGTTCACCGTGCGAATCACGAAGTGATTTTTTGCCACTAACGCACCCAATACTCCAATATGTCCAAAAATCATGTTTTGGTGCTTTTTGAACTTTCTCATTCCGGTGAAAAACATCACAGCCACGTGTGTCAATATATGCCAATATTAAGTGACAAAAGTTCGCCGCGCGAATAACGAAGTAATTTTTTGCCACGAACGCACCCAATACACTCCAATATGTCCAAAAATCATGTTTTGGTGCTTTTTGAACTTTTTCATTCCGGTGAAAAACATCACACCCACATGTGCCTATATTGTCATGAATTGACACAAGTTCGACGCGCGAATCACGAAGTGATTTTTGCCACGAAAGCACCCAATACACTCCAATATATCCAAAAATTAGGTTTTGATGTTTTTTGAACTTTTTCATTCCGGTCAAAAATGTCGCACCCACATATTGGCATTAATTGACAAAAGTTTGCCGCGCGAATCACGAAGTGATTTTTTGCCACGAACGCATCCAATACACTCCAATATGTCCAAAAATCAGGTTTTGGTGCTTTTTGAACTTTTTCATTCAGGTAAAAACATCGCACCCACGTGTGGCAATATTGGCACTAATTGACAAAAGTTCGCCGCGCGAATCACGAAGTGATTTTTTGCCACGAACACATCCAATACACTCCAATATGTCTAAAAGTCATGTTTTGGTAACTTTTTGAACTTTTCATTCCGATCAAAAACATAACACCCACGTGTGCCAATATTGGCATGAATTGACAAAAGTTTGCCGCGCGAATCAAGATGTGATTTTTTGCCACGATCGCACCCAATACACTCTAATATGTCCAAAAATCATGTTTTGATGCTTTTTGAACTTTTTCATTCAGGTCAAAAATATCGCACCCACGTGTGCCAATAATGGCATTAATTGACAAATGTTCGCCGCGCGAATCACGAAATGATTTTTTGACACGAACGCATCTAGTACACTCCAATATGTCCAAAAATCAGGTGTTGGTACTTTTTGAACTTTTTCATTCAGGTCAAAAACATCGCACCCACGTGTGCCAATAATGGCATTAATTGACAAAAGTTCGCCTCGCGAATCACGAAACGATTTTTTGACACGAACGCATCCAATACACTCCAATATGTCCAAAAATCAGGTTTTGGTGCTTTTTGAACTTTTTCATTCCGGTCAAAAATATCGCACAAACGTGTTCCAATATTGGCATTAATTAACAAAAGTTCGCCGCGCGAATCAAGAAGTGATTTTTTACTACGAACGCATCCAATACACTCCAATATATCCAAAAATCATGTTTTGGTG